CAAAATAAACATTCATCTATCGGTACTTTTTACTTAAGTACATAAAAAATCATGTACTTTTGTACTTTCACTCGAGTAAAATTGAAAACTGAGTACTTTTACTTTTACTGGAGTAATATTTTATTATACGGATCAGTACTTTTAATCAAGTACTTGATTTATGTACTTCGTCCACCTCTGATTGTGTCATCATATCACTCATCAAAACTGTATAACGCTTGTGTTCTCAGGTGAAGCTGGTGAACATCAGGAATGATGACATAACGGACGGAAACCCAAAACTGACATTGGGATTAATATGGACCATAATTCTGCACTTTCAGGTTAGCCAGTCAAGTCTCAGAATTTTTTAACAATGAAACGTCTTTGTATTGTTTTTTTATTGGCTTTTGATGCTTGATGTAGGTTTTTTTTATTCCTCACAATGAGAAATAGTGATCAAATGTCAATATTGCAGTCCATTCTCTGACCACAAGAGGTCAGACATGTATGTGCAAACTCACATTACCTCAAGGGTGAGCGGATATTTATTGAAAAGAGCTTATGAGACCACACAGTATTTATTTACTGCTAATAATGCGGTAGAAATGAGCCAGAACACCTTAGCCGTCGCCCATCAAAACCATGGTGCAGGAAGTTCTCAACACCCCGGCAACCACATAGTGTTAAAACTATAAATATAAAAGTCCATAAATAAACCTCAGGTTTCAAGGCTTTTTTTCATCTTTCAGGCAAGGCATTCAAAGTTTGTCTTCATATTTCTGTTCTAGTATAATGATTGTTTAGTTGTAGGTGGAGTGCAGTGAGCTCTATCCGTCAGTCTGCAGAGCGTGTTCACTCAAATACTCAGGCCCGCTTTGGCGTTTATTCATTTTCTGTAATGTCTTCATGCAGGAACATTTCCCTGTTTTAATGAAACGCTGTGATGTGCCAGAATCTTTAATTAGGCCAATGTGATTTTCCTCAGTAACTGCATTGTGAGATTGATTTATTAGGATCATTATTTTAGCATCAACATGTAGTAGCTGAACATGGGAAATATTTGTGTCATCACGTACACAAGATCTGTCTTGTATGTTTTACTCAATTATTCAGATTCTATATGCTCCCTAATAATGGAAAAAACTATGCTTTTCACAATGAAAGAGCTTTTATTGCTAAATATTCTAAAAAAAGTGCTGATGCTAGACAAGCCATCCTGAGCTAAAGATGAAAATTGCAGAGAATTTTTTTTTTTTTTGCATTTTATGTCTGTGACAGGCTTTTAAAAAACTGTCTCACAGTAGTCCTGCAGTATTTCTGCAGAATTTGTGCTTTAGCTGCCTGCACGCAGAGGTCACACAGAGGTTCTGCTGCAGCTGCGCATTTGCAGGTCTGAGCCTGTGAAACCTTCCCTGCAACAAATGTACAGTTCATAAGACTGAGGTGGAGAGGGGCCGTTCACACAGGACGAGTTCCTGCTTTCCGTCTGCGCTGCTTTTTAATTGTTGCAGTGTACACACGTGCATCAGAAGGAGGTCTTTGCCCATCATATCTCACAGCTTTTTAAGGGTGCTTTCACACTAGCACTTTTAGTGCCCACCCGGGTTCGATTGACGTCAGAGTTCGGTACGTTTGAATGATGTGAACGCGGTCTTCCGAACTCGGGAGCGCACCCACGAACCGTACCCGAGTCCGCTTAAAAAGGGTACGGTTCAAGTGAACTCCGGTACGGTTCGCTGCTGATGTGAACGCAATCGTACCAAATCGCGGAAGTGAACCGCTATTAATTACGTATTATTTGATAAAAATGTGTGTTTGTGTGTATTTCACTCACTTTCCTGACGAGCGTGACTGACGCGCTGCAAGCAGAGAGCTGTATATCTCATTTCTATTCGCCTTCAGAGTTCTTTAGAGCATTTGCATAAGGCAGACGTATATGTACTGAAGCTTTGGAAACAAAACCAACGGTTCAAAAGCATAAATATAAAATTGAAGAGAGCAATGCTACGCATTTTGCCGTCTTCTCCTGCGCCATCGTTACTAAGCAACGGGGTAAACAGCTGCTGGCTTGATGACGCAAACGAACCGCTGTTCGGACCCAAATAATATAATGTGAACACAGTCCAGCGGGGGCAGGGGGAGGGGGGAGCAATCGAACTCGGGTTCGGACCAAGCAATCGAACCAAGTGTGAAAACACCCTTAATGTCACATTTTCTTCACTTAAGTAAAAAAAAATGTGTGCAGTGCCTCTCTGTTTGGTTTCCTTCAGTTGCAAACATGAATGTGTTCAAATATTCCCTTGATTTCGGACACGCTGTCCTACGTTCACTGCAGTAGGCTATTAATATCCTAGCCTCGGCTTCATGTTTGGTTTGAGGTCATGTTATGATTGAAAAATTTTAGCAGTGGCCTGTAGCAGTAGTCAACCCGGGCCTCGACCAGAAGTCAAAGCATCACCGCTCTTCTTGATTCACTCCTCCAGCAGACAGAGAGCAGGAATGCAGGAACGACAGGCTCCGACAACTTCACCGCACCTCGATCTCGCGAACCACGCTGACCCGGCTTCCCTGACGCCCACAATGGGCTGAAGGCTTACAAAACAACTCTAAAAATTGATATCTGGGGCATAGCTGAAGAATGTGTTAAATAATGCTTGGCTTCATGAAACTTGCTGACAGGTAGCGTGGGGACGTGCACGAGCACCTGCCGCTGTCACTCTCACGCGAGCCGTTGGGCATGCGGCGCTAGTGGCTGTGGGCCTGTTCCCTCATGATCTGCAGTTAGAGGATACATAGAGTTGTTTTTGATGGCTCTGCCTAGACATTAGTCTCCTCAGGGATGATTTCTGAACCGTGTTTCTGAACCTCCGGTCTCTTCATTGGAAGTATCCAGTTTCCAACAAATGAAGTATTGCAATTCGCTGTGAATTTACATCTATTGTTTGCAGCTCTTCAGGCAATGACTAATGTAATTAAAGATTTTGGAGAGCGTGTTTATTCATTAATACAATATCCACAGCTGCAAACTGAATACTGTCTGTTTGAACATGCAAACAAAGACATTTGACTCTGAATCAAGCTGGCATTAGCCATTATGTTGTTTTAGTGGTCTTTTTTGCCTTACAAGCATGCTTTGAAGTTCATGAATGAAGGGTGTGTTGAGGGTGTATCCGCATCACCTCCAGCAATAATGTGCAACAATGTGATGTTTTATCTTTACTGTTTTTAAAGCGGCACTACAAAATAGTTTTTGCTCCAAACTGATCAAGATTGCATTACTGAACTAGTAAAAACGTGTTCAAAACTGCCTTGTTCTGATTCAGTACAGTAAGCCTGAAATATTGATTTAAATTTGGAATTGTCGGGTCAGATTTGGCGGGAAATTCCAGGCAAAGTCATTCATTTGTTCATGTTTACATCAGGTCTGCACAGAAGAAGGCCTGGCTAGCATATCGTATGTTGTAGAGTAGCATGGGAATACAAATGAAGAGTGCTGCTGCATATAATTTGAACTAGTCAGCTAGCTGCCATTTAACATGGACATTTCTAAAAAGCAGCCCTTCTGGGGAATCACCCACTGTCAAAACAAACAAACTGAAAAGACTGTCAGTGGGTCTGGGCGCACCGAACGAATGCGTTTCTAAGGGATCCATACACAGGTCGCTGTGATATTATAGTGGTGAGATGTGGCAAAAGGATTAGCAAATCTTGGGCCAGATTTACTAAACAGGGCAAATTAGCGTGAGAGCGCAGATGGAAGTGAGAAGTTCTGCAGTTGCTCTACTGACAGTGTGCACATTAAAGAACACAGATGCAGTCAGATCATTTCTATAATGACCAGCATGATCTACAGAGAGCAGTGCAAATTAGCATATGGTCGCAAACAAGCAGAGCTGATGATAATGTGTGTGCGGATAAGCTACTAACAACACAGCCGCAAAATGAATTAAGACATTTTTTGGGGGCAGTAAATAATGGTGCAAATACCAGTAAATTGACTGCCACAAACCTTAATAAATCACCTTGCATGATTCCTTTAAATACTCTCCTCACGTAAATGTTGCGTCTGAAAGTGAAACTCCTACAAATGCATATGCAATAAGGTCAGCCGCAGAAATAACTATGTCCACGCCTTTTCATTGCTAATGTTTTGTCTTCAGTAAATCCTGACAGTAGTTTTTTAATGCCTAAAGAGGGTTTGCGCTGGAACAAGCTATTAGTAAGTCTGGCCCCTTGTTGGGATCCCTAAAACAAGTTAGCCTAATTAGTCATTCTTGCCTTAGCAAACACTACTAATTAACTTTAAATGAATGTTTGATCAATAACTTGCTGTATAAGCTAATTATATTTTACAACTATGCCTCCAAATGAGTTTATATAGCCAATATAAGTTATTATCTTCCATTTCTATGACCACAGGTTATGTTTGTTTTACGTGCTGGACGTGATCCTTTTGAAAGCTTTGCTCTTGTTTCGAGCCAGATTAAAGAGCAAACAGAGAGCTTTGTCGTTTGGGGCAGCACACTTTGTCATGTTGTAGAGTCAGCCACGTTGTCCTGTTATTTTTAAAGGCCACATGACAGGCCATGACTCTCTCTCAGCCTGGGACGTCCTATCCGAATGGCTCAACTTGCTGAGCAGAGCTTTCACACGCGGCACACAGAAGCCATCAGGGAACGGATGAGAGTCTGTCCCGCTCCCCTCCCTTTTCTCTCTCTCTCTCCAGCCTCCAACTGCTGAGGAGCTGGAGTCAGCCTGTGGAAACTCAACACCAGCAGGGCTCCGAGGGTGGCTGTGTTTACACATCACATGAGGACTGTGACGTTTCCTCAGCTGTGACAGCAGTGTTAGTTTCTGTTGCTTACCGGGTGCCTCTATCTCTATAGTGTTTGTTCTGGAGGATCAGGGCAAAGGGTGAGGTTTCAAAGGTCACTGAGATTTCAGTGTGTTGGCAGCGTGAGAAGAAAGGGCTGGGCTGTGGAGCGAGGCTGGCGAACGTGCAATACAGGAAACTGAAGTTTGTTTGGAGTGTCTCGGTCCTCTGCCGAGTCTCAAGAGGCGTTCACATCATCCGCTCCACTCTGGATATTTGGACTACGGCTGATTTGTCTGACATCACCTCTAACTGAAACACTTGCCGGGGAAAAGATGGCTGTTATTTCCTGGGATAAGAAACTCTTGAACTTGCTGAACTTGTTTACAGCTGGCAGGAAAAAGTGAAACTTTCTTGATGGGCAGCCTTGTTAGTATGACCAAGCGCCATGGGTAATATGTGTGGATGTGTGAGGGGCTCTAAGGAGGAGTGTTATGTTGATCCCACGAAAGCCCCAATCAGCCCTGCACAAAAGGAGCTCAGTGGACGCCGATACTTTCAAAGGAGGAAGAAGAGGAAATCCGCAGAGTTCAGTGCTACTGACTCATTGAGAAGCCATGGGGCTGAGAGCTGTAGGAGTGATGACCTGGAGGATGTCACATCCGGTAGGAATTCCCTCAATCGGGTTGATGCATTGAACTCGAAGCAAGACGAGGTTCCAAGGCCCAGGGAGCCCAGTATCAGCCATGGGGTCTATGTTGGAGAAGTCCCAGTTCCCCGAGGTAAAAGCGGTAAAAGACCAGGTGTTCATCAGATGGATAAGGACAAAAGCAGGCCCACTGCAGAGCATAATCTACGTGGGGTCACCAAGAGCTCCAGAAGCATCGCCTCAAAGGATGGCCTTTTTGAAAAGAAACTCTTGCGGAGGCAGTTGAGGAGGGCGGCGAGTTTTGGAGCGGTGGAACATATGCTCCAGACACTGAGAGGAAAAGGCTTTTCAAGGAGCAGTGTGGATCATCAGTTGGAAAACATGGAGGAGTTCTCCAAAATTATATGGGACACTCAAGTGCACAGGAAGCGGAGGAGGGCCCACACTTGCTCGGGAGGTTTAGTTTCCCAGGCTACGTTGGATACTGTCCAACAAGATCTTAAACATGCTTCTACTGAACAGCAGGAGGTAATATCAGCATCTGTCGGCATATGAGATGCCATTTATGGTGCAACAATACAATTTGTGTATCATTACTTAATAGGGCTGGGACAATAAATCGATGCATCGTGAATCGAGAAATGATTCTGCATCGATTCTGAGATTTTCCGAAGGCATCGCGATTCTCTCTTGAATCGATTCTGAGCTTAGTTTTTAACAGCAGATGGCACTGCGTCCTTTAGAAATAGCTGTATTCTGCTTGCTTCCAGTTCCTTACACACGCACCATTTGAACCTAAAATAATCATTCATAAAGTTCGAAAAGGTTGAAGCGAATTACAAGGATGTTCACAGTGGGCTGTGTTTACATTAATCTTGCATCATAAAAGCTTAAAAGCCAATGTGCAAGTACATTTAACCACTTACATTACTCAGCCGAACGCGCAAGCGCTCTTCTTCGTGAGCATTTGTGCGGGTGACCGAGTGTGTGGTTAAAAACTAGCCTAGAGCGCCATCTGCTGTTAAAAACTAAGCTCAGAATCGATTCGAGAGAGAATCACGATGCATTCCCAAAAATCTCAGAATCGATCCACGAATCACGATGCATCGATTTATTGTCCCAGCCCTATTACTTAAGAAATACTCATGAGACATGCTGCGTTTACTCCATGTTGTAATTGCCATAATTACTAGATGACAACCCGAGACTTTGTAGTGGTCAGGCTGTGCAAGTCAGGGCTCTCAGAAAAGTCAGAGTTTACAAGTTGTTATTTTGAGTTCTACAAGGACGTGAATGCTTTTTCAAGGAATCTCATATTCACGGTCATTCCGGCTTGACATGAATACACCTATACAACAGCCTTGATTGCCTGAAATAGGTACTACATAGCAGAAATATTTAGGACAACTACAGACTCTTTTATCTCAAGCGACTGCATTAATTTAATCAGTTCTTGCATTTCTTGGGAATCAGGGACCGTGACACTTATTAGTGCCATGCTCTCTACTGTTTGAGACACAAGCAAATTAATTTAGTGGGTCCTTCCACTAGAAGATACTAAGGGTAATAGTTGACCTCTATTTTGCCTTGTGATATAACTAGTAACAGATACTTTGTGTCATAGCAGTGACTATATTCTTTATTTTAGCTATATTGACCCATCAGCATCTAGATTCTAGAAACTAGGCATTTTATAATGAATGATGCAGAGTTTCTGTAATGTTGTCGTTCATCTTGAGAGTCATGGCAGTGGTTAGTCAGAGTTGACATGTTTTGGTGTGTTCGGTTCTTGGATTAAGAAAACACATTATACCACAACATATTAAAACCAACAGCTTAATAATCATTCGCAGCTTGCTAAGTGTACAGTACATGAATGTGCTGACATTCAAGTCAACTCAAAAGAATCTGCCGGCCAGTGTAATTATAGCTTGTCAGAAGGCAGCAGAGCACATAGACTGTGGGTGTGGAAAGACTGAGCTATTAAATCAGTAGGTGTTGGCTTAGCTTTGCTCCAGGCATTTGATTTTAGAGCTGCACATCCTTCTTAGGAGTGATAAGTCATGTGAGATCTCTAGTGGTCAGTGGACACGTCTGTGCTAGTGGTCACTGTTTATTATGTTCACTGCTATAATAAAAATACATTTAATATGATTTATTGCTTACGTGGAGGCTACTATAAATAGCTCTAAATGAAGAAACAGAGCAACCAACCTGTGCTGGTAAATCACTGATCAAATGTTAACATGAATCAGCCTTTCTACGTGTATCAGCTAAGCTTCATTGCTGAAACAGCAGAAAACAGATATTCGAAAAAGGCCAAATTACAGATATTTGCTAATATTAGATTAATAAGTCAGACACTGATTCCTTTGGCTGTAATTTAACAGTATCTGTGTGTGGGGAAATGCATTGCATTATGTAGTGCACTTTTGCACACTTTTCTGCTTGCTCACAAGTGATCCCATTTTTATTATGGAGTGGCTATTTGCACCCAGGTGTACATGCACCTAAATTGTCTGTTTGACCTGCAATCGGAGTGACACATCCAAAATGTGCAGTATAATAAATACAATAGTATTTATATACAATGCTATTATAATATAGACAGCATTTGTTTCAAATGCTACCTACACTGGGGTGCAGACAGTCTTTATATTACTGCTGTGCCGATCTCTTTTTAAAATGATGTATTTTCATAGAGGTGAGATGATTAACATAAACAGTTAATCCGTTTTCTGTGTGCACATGATATATACAGAGTTCTAGCATGAGCGTAGCAGATCTATTCCACCAAGACCAAATACATTAACATTGTACATTACCATGCCAATCCATCCGAGATTTGTCATGACAGAAATGTATTTTATTCATTCTTAATTCTAAACTCTTGAAGCTTTTGCTAGAATATTTACAGAACAGATTTGAATTTACATTATGGCAAAAACAATTAAATGACGTAATCTGAACTGTACATTAATTTCAAGAAAAGATGCAACTGTGCTACATAGCAATTCTTTTTATATCAATTTAAAAATTGTGTTACGAAATGACCATTTCTTTACATATTTGCTGAGTATGACTAGGTCCGGATCCGTATCTATGTCATAACAGAGGTTCTTAACAAAAACATGTCATATTTCCTGTCTGCAGATCTCGGACATCCACGTGACAGGAGAGTCCGAGGACATGACAGCCAAGGAGAGACTTCTGCTGTGGTCCAAGCAGATGACCGAAGGCTATGTAGGCGTCCGCTGTGACAACTTCACTACCTCGTGGAGGGATGGACGACTGTTCAATGCTATTATTCATAAGTACAGGTAACAGCACAGCAATGTCCATTTCCAAAAAATATCCATCCATGTCCAAATATACATGGTTGTTTGTTTCTGGTTTCATGTGTTAAAGGGCATGTAAATAATGACTGAATTTTCAGAGTTTTTTGGGGGGGTAAACTATGTATGCTGTGCCTCTGAAAACTTTCTTTTAGGTGTTGTCACCTAGCCCTCCCCTCTCATCACCTGTCATATAGGGCCTACTTACACTTCATGTAGGGCCACTTCATGCATTTTCTCTGATCGGATAACTATCAGATCACAGAAAGACAGGTATAAATGCCCTCTGAAATGCATTCGAGACAGATTGCAATCTGGTGCGTCTCAAACCACTTCAGGAGATTCCAGACAGTATTGGACAAGTGTAAATGCATGTGGTTTTACTGTTTACAAAATGTTAAAGAAATAAGGTGTGAGTGAGTGTTATGGCTATAATTGTATATCTGATTTGAGAAAACACATGAAGTGACAAGTGTAAATAGGCACTTTTCACAAACCAGTCGATTAGGGCCTGTTTACACCTGGTCACTTAATGCGTTTAATAGGTATCCGATTGTGAAAAGACCTTGTGTAAATGTCCTCCGAAGTGCTTTCGAGATGCATTTAGAACCGATCACTCAAACGACGAAACTGGACAAGTGTAAATGCATCTGGTTGTTGAAACCACATAAGTGTTAAACATTTTTAAAAAAGAAACGTGAGAGCGTGTTATAGGCTATATGACATGTTACAGTCAGATATGACAGCGCTAATGCAACACGCATCGCCGCAGATGAGTAGCTTAGTATTTCTTCAGCAAGCCAACGCGCAAACTCCGCAAATGAAAATGAAAATGAGTCGCAGAAGCTCAACACACAGTCATCTTCATTAAGAGTAGTGAGACTAAATGATTTTACGAGTGCTGATGCCACGCTCTCTCCTATTGTGGTCTTTGGTTTTGAAATTGGCCGATAATGAATAAAATGCAGCGCATATCTGTTGCTTTCGTTGATGTGTACTCCGTTAAATTTGCATATAGCGCGGGAATTGAAGATCGGATTTGTATCCGTTTTGCAGAGACACATTTATGTGGCCAAATGTAAATGGAACCATTTGAACAAATCAGATCACTAAAAACACATTAAGTGACCAGGTGTAAACAGGCCCTTACAGATGGAGAAAACTAAGTCTTTTTCTTACTGAATATCCTGTTTCACTCTGAAATAAAATGTTACATCATGGAAGTGACATGGGTTACAGATGGACAGAGCTTTAATGTATATACACCTATATCTTTACTTCTCATCTCTGTTCTTAGAATGATCTGTTGTGCCTCATAGTCATAACCTGCTCTTTATAGTTTGATGAAATGTCATTTTACCTAACACACGCACAGACACAGTTCTCAGATTACCATTACTTCTTTGTGCAAAGAGAGTTTTTGCCGTGACTATTCCTGTCAGTCAGGGGTTTAGTAATGGGTTAATGATGATCCTCATGAGTGAATCTCACGAACCCTGTCAAGAACATGCCTGGGTCATATTTCACCTCAATATCAAAAGAATGAAAAATGAAGCCTATTTTTGGGGCAGTTAAGATGCTTAACGGTCCTAAAATAGGCTTAATTTTCTCTAGGCAAAGTGTAATTGTTCCTTAAATGCTTTTTATGTAAATGATGTCCCTTGATTTAGTGCGTACTTTCTCTTTGACACTGTCTGAACATTGAGTCAGTTTACAGAAATGAAAATGTCTGTTTCCATTAATTGAAGCACTTTTGGATTAAAGCACGATCTTGGTGTGTCATACAAAACATATCTGTCACTGAAAGATATCAGACACGCAGAGATTGTGGAGTGAGATCATATTGTCACGGTTCTGTCTTAATTCAGGCCCGACCTGGTTGATATGAGCAAAGTATCGACACAAAGTAGCAGATCCAACTTAGAACAAGCGTTTGGTGTGGCCGAGCAGCTTGGTGTGGCCCGACTGCTGGACCCAGAGGGTGAGTTTCAACGCCAAACTAATGTCCTCATGCACGTTACATCATTTAGCATTATGATTATATTGTCAAAGTTTTTTGCCTGTGTTTAATAACTATTTATCAGTTAGTTATTGTTAACATTTAACTACTTTTTAAGCATGGATTAAATTACATTTTTTAAGTGGTGACATTCATCCACCACTAATCTTTCATTCATTGATACTACCTCAGTCGTCTATACACTTCTTTACAATTTGGTGTTTACAATGTTTAATGTAATTAATTACATAATGTGGTGATTAATTAATCGAATTAATTGCAAATTAAATTTGGCTGCAAAAATACCCACAAAAGATAATTTAAAGTCATTCTTGTGTTATAAGAGAAAATATCAAGTATAGATATTATAAAACGTAGCTTTAGAAAGAAATATTTTATTTGATTCAACATAACATGTATTTGTATTACATATAAACCTTTAGGCTACAACGGCCTAGCATAAACTGTGGAACATAAAAGAAGAGAATTTGGGAAAAAATTCAGTATTTTTGTTCCTACAGTGAAGGTCATCGGTAACCAAATCAGCTTGGTTACCAAACAGTCTTGTTTTACTTCTGGTTACCAACATTCTTGATTATTTTCCGTAAAAGAAAGTAAATGATACAGGTTTGAAACGACATGAGAGTGAGTAAATGATGACAGAATTTTTCTTTTTGGGTGAACTATCACTTAATCGAATTAATTGCAAATTAAATTTGGCTGCAAAAATACCCACAAAAGATAATTTAAAGTCATTCTTGTGTTATAAGAGAAAATATCAAGTATAGATATTATAAAACGTAGCTTTAGAAAGAAATATTTTATTTGATTCAACATAACATGTATTTGTATTACATATAAACCTTTAGGCTACAACGGCCTAGCATAAACTGTGGAACATAAAAGAAGAGAATTTGGGAAAAAATTCAGTATTTTTGTTCCTACAGTGAAGGTCATCGGTAACCAAATCAGCTTGGTTACCAAACAGTCTTGTTTTACTTCTGGTTACCAACATTCTTGATTATTTTCCGTAAAAGAAAGTAAATGATACAGGTTTGAAACGACATGAGAGTGAGTAAATGATGAATTAATTTTTCTTTTTGGGTGAACTATCACTTTATTTATTTTTTTTTATTTTTTAATGAAATGATACTCTAAATGAGAAACTAATACTGCCAGTAGGTGGCAGTAAATGTCTTTATGAGTAAGTCATTGAGTCATTCATTCATTCAGTTCCTTCAAACTGCTGATTGATTCAGGAATGAAGTAAATGGCTCTCTTTATGAATGGGACATTGAATCATTGGCTCACCCGATTCGTTCAAAACATGGATTCATTCAGTAATGAATCACCGCTGTGTGGTGCTTGAATATGTGCAACAGTTCTGCTGTGGTTTTATAGGCAGGGTTTAAATTGGACCGGGGCCGTCCGGGGCTGAGCCCCGGCACATAGACTCCAGGGCTCGACATTAACGCTTCATTAACGCCAGACAAGTAACATGATTAAAACATCAGTAACCAAAAATAACTATGTAAACACCAAAACGCAAGTATTATTCTGATTTTATTACATTTAGAGTAAGTGGAGAATAGTGGATATAGCTACTGTATATTATGCACCTATTGCTGAGGCGAGGCTCCCGCAGCCTCTCCAGCAGAAATCAAAACGCGCAACACTAAGAAACTCAGCATCCTGAGGTAAAAATTCAAAATGGAAAGTTTTTATATTTAAAATGCAGTTAGTTAGGCAACATCACACAACGTTTTCACCATTACGACTGTTTAATAGTTCTATAAACAGTTCAACAAGCAGATACAATAATATTAGGTCACTTACATTTTAGGCGGAAACACAGCGCACCTCACAGCAACAGCCGATTCATTGCTGATTGATTCCGTGTTTTGAACGAATCGGTTGAATCAAAGTTTCGTTAGCCCACGCATAAACATTTGATGAATCTGCCGTTTGAACTAATCGTTTGAATGAACGACTCAATGACTTACTCATTAAACGCTCACTACTGGCACCTACTGGCGTTTTAATTTAGTTTAAAAGTATAATTTCCAGCATTTCTTGTTTGTATATTCAAAAATATTTAAAAGAATCTCATACTATTATTTAATGCAGTTGTATTTTTCAGTGTAAATGATTTTATTTGATAACGTAAAGATAATCACATTATTGTAATTGAATTTAAAGATCAAATGTAAGAATTTGAAATGAGATTAGTGGGAAAATGCCCTCTTTAAAGGTAAAAAAAAATGCCATTGGATAAAATATTGAATATATAAATATTGAATAAAATGAGAATATTGCTTCAGAATAAATCATATTTGCAAAACACACACACACACACACACACACACACACACATATATATATATATACAGTATATATATATAAGTTCGATACCATAGAGCCCCCCCACATAGCAAATCCCAATTTAACCCATTTATAGGTAATATTTTTGTTGCCAAAATTGAGCAAAAACAGACAATTACGTAGCCTATCTAAAATATTAGATATTAAAATACTAAAATATTAAATAAATAATACAATATTAACTTCTTATTTACCGAACTAAATTACATTTAAACTTGTGCTATTTGGGTGAAAAACAGCACTCGTGTGATATTGCTCTCGCTGCTCGTGTGATATCACCTATCATATGATATAAATATGAGACAAAACATTTTTTTTGTCCCAATATCTTACATTTTAAAGGCATATAACTGCATCATGTTCATCAACAGTCAACTGTATAAAATGTAAGATGACGTACTGGTCTGGGGTGGGGCGGTCTGTGTTAATTGTATTCAAATATTTTAATCGCGTTATTTTTACGTAACTAATTAATTAAATTAACATACTAAAACGACAGCCCTAAAAAAAATACAATGTCATTTGAAAACAACTTCATCATTATTATGCCACCGTTTTCTCATGGAAATCTATGAGGTTGCCAACCGCTTCCAAACAATGACGCCGAAGAGTATCTTTGTTTGTTTCAGTGATGTGTGAGACTCTTGAGATGTGATTGTTGTCTCAGACTGAGGATGAGCTGCTAGTTAACACAACTCTACCACATTTCTGAAGTGATTCAGCTTTGACGTGTTGTTTTCTGGTGCAGCACAACTGGTTCCTCCATACAGCGTTGCTGAATCTGAGCTGCAGTCTGAATGTCAGATATTTCGCCCTGCAGTTTCACAGTATTTCATGGTCATTTGTAAAACAACACTGGGATCTAAGAATAGTATTTAGCGCCCAATGGCTAACACTCTCCTCAGCAGACTAAACAGTGAATTCAACACTTAATAAAACCGTAAACAAATTTTTCTTTGTTGCAAAACTGTTCAGTGTTTTATAAAGTAGCATTTGAACTAATCAAATGTTTGTCCATTTCGAGCAGATGTGGATTTGTCATCTCCGGACGAGAAGTCTGTCATTACTTATGTATCAACGTTATACGACATCTTCCCGAAAGTACCGGAGGGTATGGAGGGCATCAGTGCAAATGTAAGTACAATCACATATAGTTATAATGTCACTACCCCTGTGAAAAAGAAGTACACTTTAACATAGTTTTAAAAAGAGTATTATTACAGTAAAAATATACTTTAAAAGAATATACTTAAGTGTGAACTGAATGTAATGTTTTCAGAGTTTATCATAGAGTTTAAAGTTATAGTTTTTTTATAACTTTATATATTTATTTTTTATAACTTTATTGTTTTTTATAACTTTATTTTTTTTTATAACTTTTTAAATTTTTTTAACTTTATATGTCATTTCATAATTACTGCCAAATGTACTGACAAGCATGACAATAGTAAACTAAAATATACTATGTCATCTTTATATTGAAGCTTGTCATGTATTTAAATATATTTGTAAGTAAACATTTGTCATTTGTAATGAAGTTACAATTTAGTACATTTAAAATATATTAACTTTAAATGTACAGTAATATTGAATAACACACAGTTGTAATTATGATAATAAAACAAGCGTACTTTAAAACACAACAACAGTTTAATAGTACATAATGCTTTAAAATGTACTTTAAAGTAAACCTCATTTTGACATTTTTGCATGTGTGCACTTTCTGAAATTGTATGACTCTTCTCTGAGGATACTCAGGCTGATAGTACATAAACACCTCATGGATGATATCAGCTACCTGACTTACTATAGTCAGGTTTTATCTGGGCGGGATGGTGAATTTGCTTGGTCTATGCAAATAAACTTTGTGTCTACATTTTCACATTACATAAGCATTCCGTGTATCTTGGAAGAGTTGGAGGCGCGTTATGCAGGAAATGAAACGAAGTTGGAAGCTCCTAAGGAATCTGTTGATTCTTTGGAATCTTTCCCAGAACATTGAGGAGTATGCAGTGTGCATACTGGTTCCTGTTTAAGACACATTGACCTTCAATCCAACATGCTTGCAATTCTTGAATAAATGAACAACTGAATACAGTATATTACAGGAAAGCCAAGAAGTGACACATCCTATAAATTTATCCCGTATTGGTGGAAGCATGACTGTGTTTACATATGTAGATCTTAAACAGAAGTTGACTGATGGTGTTCCTGAAACAGGATGTGGACATTAAATGGGTGGAATTCCAGAACATGGTGAAGTACCTCAGCCAGTGGATCAAACACAATGTGACTGTTATGTCAGACAGAAATTTCCCCAGCAATCCTGTGGAACTTAAGGTGAGATGCCTCACGTTTTCACGTTACTTCTAAGAATGTATTTACATATTTTCAAAACAGTTGATTTTTCCATGAAATGATGTAAATAATGTTTACACATTAAAAAAAACTAATCATAAACCAGACCTTATATTTATGCAAAACATAATGTTCTTTTTTCTTTTTTTATTATTTGGAAATGAGAAATGTGGCTCAGATAGTAGCTTGTACAATTAGTGCACATGCAGCTTTGGAAAGACATAATGGGGAGTTTTGAGGTGAACTATTCCTGCACCAATTTTACATTTTAATTTATGAAAGGGCAGATATATCTTAAGTAATAATTTGTCAGATAGCAGACATTTACAGATGTGCTTTTTCAGGGATCAGCAGCTGCTGAGAGCATTGCATAGTGTATTGGAGCCTGAGGCTCAGAGGATTTCCATGACAAATAGATAGCGACTCGTGACAACTATTAAAGCCTCTTTAAAGACTTGAAGAGCAGCTCCATCTTTCTCCTTGAGCAGAAGCATAGAGTACAGGTTTTCTACACTCATAACTCGATGGATAGACATCTCTTTGCTTTGTTTTGTCGTAACTAACCCTTTTGAACTTTACAGGCACTTTATACACAGTATCTACAGTTTAAAGAGAATGAAATACCACCGAAAGAAAACGAAAAGGCCAAAATCAAGCATCTCTACAAAATGCTAGAGGTTTGTATCTTTCGTTTTTATGTTTTTGATCGTTCATATTTTGTTCGTTTATGTGGCACATGTAGGGGATGTCTTGAACTGTGCTGTATGTTGGGATGTAGGTGTGGATAGAGTTCGGTCGCATCCAGCTTCCTCAAGGATACCATCCTAATGACGTGGAGAAGGAATGGGGCAAGCTGATCGTGGCCATGCTGGAGAGAGAGAAGAGCCTGAGGCCTGAAGTGGACAGGTATGAGATGATTTACACACGCTATCTCTCCATCGCTATTTCTTAATGAAAGAATATGGGTGTGGATGACATGCATTCCACTGAGGAATTCACTTAGGATCTATTTGACGTTTTTGACATTTACATTTTGAATATTTTTTATTATCATATCAAACTGGCAACAATACAAACTTAAAAATGTCCACTAAAGTACTTCCGCAAATCTCAACCAATGTACAGTGACACATTATGTCAAAGGTTGACCATGTTGGCATGTTCCAGTTAGCTCCTGCTGGTAAAATTAGCTGTATATTCTGATGAAATAAAATGTTGTTTTTTTTCAAGCAATATTTATAGTACCAATATATTTTTTATTTTACTAGGTGTTTTATCAGTGCAGGGTTCTTAAAGAGGTTCTTGTTTATGGAGGGTTCTTAAAAGCGTGAAATTAGCTTAAAAAACCTGCTATAAGCAAAGATGGCAGATTTCTAATCTGATCAGTCCTGCACCAGCCAAGCAACTGCTATTGAGATGAATGTGAATGCTAATGGTGGCTTTCTCTGTAGACCAGCTTGTTATATGCCATTCTCCTTAAAAGTCTAAACACTGTGCTGCTTTTTAAAACACTGCTCAGTTTGTTTGAGCATCCCTACCAATTCAATATAGCAGCAGATGGGGCGCAACAATCTGTTCAATATATATCTGATATCTGATAATTGGGAAATGAGGGAGTGTTCTGTAAATCTAAAAACATCACGTCATTGGGCTCAACTGGTGTGTCAATCATTCATAAATCCATTCTTATGTAAATTGTCAAAGAATGCATTGAAATGAATTGTTGGAGAAAAAATTAAGAATGTTTTGTAGGCACAATTAACACTGAACTTTGTTCTGTTTATGGTTCAGGAATTAGGGCCTTTATGTTTGCAGTTTTAATGTTTTAGTAAAAATGTATGTAGGTAATTATTTATGGATAAAATCACCCTTCTATGCATTTCAAATTTATGTTGAAGATATATTGTGCGGTCTTCGGTCACTTCTGACCGGAGAATTTTACATTTTGAATTTTTTTAAATCGTAGCTTCACCAGAATGGTATGAAACTTGGTGACTTTTATGGCACTTGGTATGTGAACACACAAAAAAGGGCATGATTCGAAAAAGCTAAGTGGTCCTAAAAAAAAAAAGTCACACTCATGGTCTTCAGTCAAAAATGACCGACCATAGGAAATGAATGGGAAATGGGAAAAAAAATAGAAAATACAGAAACATTTTGTGTGTACAATCTACAAATCCCCCACAATGCAGAAAAAATTGCACAGCAATGAAAGGGTGAAACTCTAAAACATCTAGAGTGCAAAATCTACACACCAACTCACACACGCGCGGACACACACTTATGAACTGGTGTGACTGTAACAGCAACTATGTAAAATAAAATCAATAATTAAACTACAATGCAGTAAAAAAGTGGACAGCAAGGAAGGGGTTACACTCTAAAACATCAAGAGTGTGAAACAGATACATCCACTCACACACACTCACAGACACACACATACAGAATTATACATGCTCAAATTAATTGGTATGGCTATAACCATATAGCCAATCAACGTAAACTCAGCACACCTGAAACGAGGATAGGTGCATGGGAACAAAATCAAACAAAGTTGAATCAAAAATAAGTAACGAACCCGCACACTATCAATACTTGCTAATTCTTAAACTTTATTAAACGCAACGTTGCGTTTAATAAAGTTTAAGAATTAGCAAGTATTGATAGTGTGCGTGTTCGTTACTTATTTATAACCATATAGCCAAAATGAGGTTAAAATCAGATCAGACCCAGAAGGATTAAGCTCTGATAAAGCATTCCTGTTCATTTTTGTTACATTTTTATAGAATTTTAATGTTTTGTGTAACAAAATGCTGTCTGTGTTTAGGTTTGATTTAAATCCACAACCTAATAAAAGTAAACAATTATGTATAAAAACAACTAGGGAATTCACAAGCCTCTCTATAGGGTCCTATACTGTACAGGAATCTAGTGGTTACACCATGAAATTACAGGTTTTTATAGTTTTTTTTTTGCTCTCACCAGGAGGTGATTTAAGGGATTTTAAAGGCCTAGTCTCTATTTTAATCTGAAATACTGCATTAATTGAAAAATAATAAAAAAAAAATTAGATTTTTTAAAGGGATTTTAAAGGCCTAGTCTCTATTTTAATCTGAAATACTGCATTAATTGAAAAATAATTTAAAAAAAATTAGATTTTTTTAAATACTTTTTTCAATGGGAAAAATTGATCATAATTATCGCATAAATATTAATTAGTACCATAAAATTCTCTCAAAATAGAAAAGAAAAAATATTATTGAACACAAATATATTAGATTGATTTTACTGAAAAAAAAAAGTTACATGTCAGGTGTCTGGTCACTTTTGACCGCAAAGACCATGAGTGTGACTCCCAAATGAGGAGCGCACAAGGGTTAAATGTCATCAGAAGGCATCAGTTTTTTAATTATATTGCCCAGCACTCCGGTTGTGCAGCAGAGATTAGTTTTGTTTCCTGCACAGAAATGACTGTCACACCTGTGCAGTTCACTGTTGTTACTCATAATATTTAGGTGAAAACATGGTGTTGGAAATTACCTGGAAATAAATGGAAATCACTCATGCTTTTGATATTTATTAGCACTTTTATGTACACATGATTATATAATAACAGCACTGCTATCAATGCCGTAAAATGGTTGAAATGACTGTTAATGAGGCAGAGGAATGTGTTGTGTGGTGTGACACCCCCCGTCTCTCTCAGCCTAACTGTCTGAACCTGTGCTGGATCATCTGTCTCACATAAAAAGCAGCGCTCAGTGTTTTACCTGGGGCTGATGCTGTTGTGGGCTGGCTTCTCTGCCATCGGTATGAGCCTATAAATAGCAGTGGCTGGAAGCAGGTGCGGTCAGAAGGGTGGTGCGTGCGGATCTGGGACTGTAGATGGCCGCTGGGCTCTCTGCTGCTGATGGAGGGGTGGTAAACGCCATTCTCTGGGTTGGCCAAAGATAGTGTTAGTCTGTTATGATGCACAGCAACCTGGCGTACTGCAGTAGCACCTCATCAGTGAGTGACAGCACTCTGACCAGCCTGGGCTCGGCTGAAAACCTGCTCTACGTAGCACATGAGCCTCTGTCCAGCACACCGCTTTATCTCAATAGCTGCTCTGTGTATGGACCCAGGTGAGGGAGCCACACGTGCTTCAGGGAGAGAATTAGACGTGCTTTGTGGTTTCCTGTGCAAAATTCTGTACGAAACGTGCCCTGATGTTTGATTGTACCTGTCTTTTGTTTTCGTAGACTTGAAATGCTACAGCAGATTGCAAACAGAGTTCAGCGAGACTGCGTAGCCGGAGAGGACAAATTAGCGTTAGCGCGGACGGCTCTGCAGTCGGTGAGTTCCTAATCTGGATTTTGTCTTAATTTCCAGTAATTGTCAAATTAAATTTTGTTCTTGCTTTATTGTTTCTTGCTTTTTTGTTCTTGCTTTAAAAACAAAATTGAGTGAGGTTTACATTTAGCAGACTAAAAAAAAATAAAATCACAATTTTTACCTCTCAAGTAAATATGCAGTATATACATGAGAAGTTCATTTGCAAAAACCAATAACTCCATTTTTATTTTTTTTTCAGAAATCACTTTTTTTTATTGCGCATTCCAAGTAATATCAATCAAACTGCAGTTGGGTTGTTTTGATTAAGTAATAATAACTTAAACAAATACAGGTAATTTACAATATTAAAGTTCATTGAAAGTATGTTTTTTTTTACTTTTTAAAAGTTTGTTTTATAGCAAAAGCAGATAACTCCAACAGTCATTTTTTGGCAAAAGCAGATAACTCCACATTTCATGTTTTAGAGTTAAAAAAAACAC